ACTAGTAGTAATGCCTTCCAACAATAGCAACACTAGTAATACTTATTCAAGTAGTAATCGCCAAATAATATAACGATTAGAAGAGAATCATAATCTGTATAGTAGTAGAGAAAGTTAATGTATAGCAACAGTGAACATATAGCCATTATGCTACCTATTTATTCACTTCCTTTATGATCATGTGATCTACTTAATAATGGAATTGCCCATGTTACTCACTGGCAATCTAGTTTCAAACTACAGTGTCGTCAACAACAATTACTCTTAAACAGGTTTTTAATTCCTATACAAGCTGACCTAACATAACCAAATAAAACAGAGAAAAAATTTAAAGCCTAGAGATAATGTGCTAGACAATATAGATTAGATTTTGGTAAAGAATACAATAAACCAAATTCTTAAATTATTTTTGAAAAAATTTTTGTATTCATATTACTATACGTTTATGAATAAGACCTTAAATGTTTTAAAATAATTAGATTAGACAATTCTAATAATTTAAGAATTTGGTTTATTGTATTCTTTACTAAAATCTAATCTATAATTAGTGTGGGATGGGTAAATTCTCACCATTTTTATATTTTTAATTTTGTGCATGCACATTGTTTTTGTCAACCGCACAAAATAGAAGGGTCAGTTGGACACTATCTGTGAGAAAAAGAGCACAACGCAATTCACTCTGCCAGAAATTTGAAAATAGCATGCTATACTGCTTGGCATTCACACCAGCTCCAATACAAACATTTCAGAGTGTTTGGGTGTCAATATGAGAATAGTGCAGAGGAGTTGGAAAGAGTTGGAAGAGTTTAGAGGTGCAGAAGCTCAGAAAACTCACTCTGATCATTCTGATAAGAACTCCTGAATTTGTTGGTAAGACTCAACACCGAGATCTACATCAAGTGCCTTGAGGAGGTAGTGATGGGTCAAGAGGGTGGCTGACGGAAGACACTATGTTTGGCAACAGGACTCTGCACCATGCCACACAAGCAGGAGAACCCAGTCATGGCTGTCAGATAATTTCTGTGATCACACCACCCCTTATATCTGACCACCCAACTCCACAGACTGCAACCCCCTTTATTATTATGTGTGGGGCACAGTTGAGTGAGAAACCAACAAAACTCCTTGTAACACCAAAGATGAACTGAAAGCAAGGATTACAGCAGCATTCACCAATTTGCAGGAGATTCTGAAATTATCTGGAGGCAGTGGTGATTTTATTGAATAAATTTACTCTTTAGTATTTCAATATATTTTTGTGTAATTTTGGTAAATATATCAATTAAAATAAGATTTTCATTTTTGCTTAATGATGACAGTTTATCCATCACACCCTGTTACATATCACTGCATACTGCTGTTGAGAATTATTTTTTGTATTTCTACATTATATAAAAGGAATTCACATTCATAGTATTTTAAATTTAAATTGTCAATATTTTGCAGAGTCACTACACTTATCACTACATATTAAAATTTTTTATCTTGCTTTTATTTATGCAATTAAGTTTGATTAAAATGTAGACATATATTTAATGATTACATGAAGACTAACCTGTTTGCATTCCACATATTAAACAAAGAGATTAAATTTTGGGACTCTTTTCTGAATGGAAAAAGGTTAAGAGTAGGAAAATATGAAAGAATCATTTTTGCACAGAGAAAATTTACTGGCTGCAGGAGAAAATAAAAATCCTTACCTGTAAGTTCATTAACTTTCTTAAGATTGTTCTGCACATCTTCTTCACAAGCTTTAATAAGTTTGCTATACTGCCCAACACCCTAAATAAATAATAATAATAATTATAAAGGAAGCTTCCAGCAAAGCAGAGTTTCAGTGATTGTAAAAGTTAGAGGAAAAAGTCTCACTGCTTACCACTTCATGTTCTTCAAAAGTACAACATATTATAAAAGGCTTATGCTTTCATTAAAGATATCTGTGTGTTGGTAGTGTGACTTATTTGTAAAGAAAGTGGAACCAGTGTAACAAATTCAAGTTCCAACCTTCTCCGTTATATTCACTTGAGCTATGATGCCATTAGAGAAAGGCATCTCTTCTCCCCACAGCTATAGATTAAATGGCAATGTAGATTGAGATCTCTAGCCTTGGGTAACAGCCAGTCTAGGAGAAAGACAACTCTGAATTCAAAACCATTAAGAATGTAATAAGAAACTATTCCAGTAACCAACAAGTCCAGATAATAAAGAAAAGAAAATGAATCCTTGAAAAACTATAATCTCCGACATCCTGAAACAGATCAAAGTTCTTTTTTCTTCAAAATTTAAGGCATTAATATTTACTTCTTGATTTTGATGACATTCAACATTTTTCAGACCTCCTACCAGGAAAAAAATTGCAAGAATTATTTTAAACAAATTTATTAAAAGTCAATGATGAAATTTTTAGAAAAAATGTACATAATTTTATCAAATTGGTAAGTTCATTTTCTGCTGCAATTGAAAAACCTACATTCTTTACAATCTGAAAGCAGATTAAATTGTGAGTGATAATACTGGCAATAAAATCCAAGTTAAAAACAAATGCTAAATCAATATTAATAAACAAATTATTTAAACACCCATAACATGATCACTTAATAATAATACGATGTAAGTCCTTATTTTGCACAAATATTTTTCAACATAATCTTCTTCCTTGCCAAAACACTTAACCTAACACTTCACAAAGTTTGAACATTATACAGTGAAAATTTCAGATCAACATTCAGTTAATAACTGTGTTGAAGCTGCAGATTTATTAATCCACTTTCATAATTTAGAGCAATGTGTTTTGTATAAGGTCTCTATCTAAACATGCTAAATTGATTTCCATTGTGTGAAAATAATAAAATCTGATACTGAGATAATTATTCAGAAACTAAAAAAAAAAAAAAAAAAAAAACAACATTTAGTTCAATTACTGAATATATCAACTATCAGTGACATGACAGTAACAAAACAGTGCAGGTAGTGTTGCATTGATGCTTCCTTCCACGGAGAGAAAAAAAAAAAAAAAAATCAAAATCTAAAGAATAAATATGATTTACCAATTCCATTTTCCAAGTTGATAACCACTACACTTGATACTTTCAAATTTTTCTACCTTTAGAAGATGTCTAACATAGTAGACCAAACTACAAAATTACATTTAAAATGAAAAGCTGCCCTGTATTTTTTCGTCATATAGAATCCATCTCCTTAAAACTTGCAACCAATATATCTGAATGCACAAAGAATGAAAATAAACTTTAAAAGGCACCCAATAACAATAACATTAAAAACCTTCCCATCCCTAAGAAAAAAAAAAAAAAAAAAAAAAAAAACTGGCTCATCTATTCTTTTTAGCAATGTTTTAAAGGTTCAAGAATACATTCACAAACTCAATTCAACATCTAATAAAAAAAAAGAAATATTCAAAATGTATAAAAACAAATATTTGTAAATAATTAACACTTTTCAAAAATAAAGCTGAATTTATTTTGATTTTGTAGGGTAAATCTATTTTATAATAATCTGATTTCAAACAATTTTATAAGTAGCAAAAACATCTTGAAAAAGGTAAATTAAAAGGAAAATTTCAACAATTTTTTTCAGTATTTGAAATACTTATACAGTCTGAAAATGTATCCAATAGTTTCCATCAGATGTTCAGATTATACCACAAATAAGATGTAAGTCTGTTTATTATTTAATGAGTTATCTAACAATATTTACATTATTTGGACTATTGTCCTCAACTTTGTTGCCATATTTATCACAACGTTTCGGCCATTGTACGCTCCGGCTTTCTTCAGGTGGTTAGAATGTTGAACTGAACCCTTTATCTTGCTTGCTGGGGTAGACTGTTCTTTACATTTGGCACGTGGAACTAGAACAGTCTACCCCAGCCAGCAAAATAAAGGGTTCAGTTTGACATTCCAACCACCTGAAGAAGGTCAGAGCGTACAATGGCTGAAACGTTGATAAATATGGCAACAAAGATAAGGACAATAGTCTGAATAATGTAAATAGTATACATAATACTTCATCTCAGAAATATAGACAGACAGTTATCTAACAATATTTGAAAAACATTGTTAATATATTAGGGCAATTGATATAAATTAGGTGAATATTTAAATATGATTTATTTTTCATCTTCATAAAGTAAATAACACTCTTTATATTTTATTTGATCAATATTTTTGGTAATATTGCATCATCTTCAAAACATTACATTATTAATGCAGCAATTGTCTTGAACTTGTTTAATTATGGCAAAAACAAACAAAAGGTATTCAGTATCAATTTGAGACCAGGTAAAATAGGTAAATGAAGTCAAAGAAACTAAGTGTTGTTAAATCAATGACATGGTCCATAATAAAATTATGCACATGTGGCTAGTGATGTGAAAATTCTTCAGCAGGTTAGATGCCCTTGTAAAGCTTCACCAAAACTCATGTTCAAGACAGGGACATCAGTAAAGATTCACAGGTGACATGGATGGATGAATGAGGTTAGTCAAAGCACAGCAAAGAGTACAATGCACCCTGTGGGACTGTAAAGTCATACACCAAAGAAGACATTTTTAATGTACTTGGAAGCTAGTATCTAATAAAATACAGTATTTTTAAATTTGATGAGAAAGAAATTTAACTTTTACATCATTCAAGGAAGATATACATGTTAAAAAGATGAAAAGGAAGAGAGTGAGAGAAAGTTCTTTGCTAAAGGAATACCATCCTGACATAGAACCATTGAGGAGTTTCAAATATAAAGCTGCTTTAGTACAAAAGAAGATATTTATCAAACTGGTGTAGATCAAAGGAACAAACAAAAAAATTAGAAAGAGACAAACAGACAGAGATACACTGTTTTAATATTAAGGGTAATGTAAAAAGTGTAATTCAAAATATCTGCATGAGTAGAATCTGGTTATTACAATTAGACAATGATCAGTGAATTACTGGCTTAGTCTATTGCATTCACTTTCACACTAGTATCTTGGCAAAGGCATGAATGCATCTCTACTCTACCATCCCCAAATATGGGCCAAATAGCATAGCTGACAGAGTTCTATAGCATAGGATAAGACTACTTTTAATAGGTACCCCCAGACTTTCTAAAAAAAAATTTAAAAATAGGGAAATTAAAGACGCATTCTGTGTCTTTAAAATTTTGATTTAAAATAGTCAAAAAATACATTAAAAGAATTAATCTTTAAATAAAGATCTCATACATTTTAAACAAAATCACTTTCACTGTATTCGATTAACTAATTTGACAGATGTTGACAAAAGGGAAATTAAAACATTTTAAAAATCTCCTAAAAGTCTAATATCTGTCCATGAAAAATTGATGGATTAGCCAACTAGATTTTGTAAAAAAAAAAAAAAAAAAAATGATTTGAATTATCCAATATGTTCTGCCTTTAATAGTCATTGTCATTGAATTTCTCAAGTTTTCATAAAATCACTTGCAAAAAAAAAAAAAATAAATAAAATAATAATTTCATTAAGTTGTGAATAAGTCCTGAAAGTTTCACTAGAATGCAACAATTATGGCAAGAATTTCCAAATCAATGTATCTTTCACAAAAAAAAGAAGAAAAACACTAAAATTTGCTATGCTAATTTATAGCCCATCCGTTGATGCAAGAAAAATAAAATTCTTAACCAAAATTTCGAATGTTCTAAAAAAGATTAAAAAATATAATTAAATTATAAATACTTGATCTTTGTTCTTAAAGATTTTAACATTAGTTTTTATCAAATCTTGGCATTTTTTTATCATTAAGTAAGCTCTTTTTTCAGTGAATTGGTGGAGAATTTGAAGAATTTAGCTTTATAAAAATGTAAATTAGGAACATTCAAAATTCACTAGTACGGATTAGCCATCAGTTAGGTAAAAATTGAATTGTACATCAAAAAACATTCACTATAAAGTTCATTCCTGAGTGCTTAAAATTTTCAATAAAGTAGGATAATTCCTAAATTTTAGTACATTTTTAAAAACAGTGGATATTGCTTTTTGGGAGATACCTAATTTTTTAAAAAGGTACCTACATTTTTTGTAGCTTTTTTAAAGTACCGAAAAAGGTTGCTGAAAAAAATTTGTAGTTCATATTTTTCAAATTATATGTAAATCCATACTTACATAAGTTTTTAAGAGGGCAATATCACCTTCATCAAGAGCTGGAATTAAAACAGAGAAAATGTAAAGAATAGTGTAAAAATAATCTCTCTCATATACAAAAACACATACATAAACTTTTACTGATGTCAAGACAATAACTTAAGCTGAGCTGTAATATTCAGGTGCTTAATGTTACTCAAAGTATATGGTCTTCTTGAATGTAAAAGTCATGTATGAAACAATTTTAAGGTGCTATTTCGCATTCTTAAAGAAAAAAAAAACATTATTAATGTTTTTCTTATTAATGATTAATTTTTTTTAAAAAAAAAAACAATAGAAAAAACTAAAAGAAATCTAGCCTATTTTGAGAAACAACTTTTTGTCATTTTTTTTTTCAATTTCATCAAGTTTATTTTTTTAGTCATGTCACAAAAACTATGACTCCCAATTTAAAATTATAATAAATCAAAAAATCCATGTGTACAAATTTCGTAAATAAAATTCTGTGCTTTACTAGTTTACTGGGTACACAGCAAAAATGGTAGTAGGAAGTTTGCTGGGTAAACAAAGTACCCCAAGAAATTGTAGGGAGAGAGAGCTTAGCATAATTAGTCCGAATTAATTTTGTCATTGTTGTTTAGGAAGATTATTTAAGTTGTTTCGTCGTGTTAATTAATAAAATCAAATGACTGATATCTATGTGTGCCCGGTAAACGGTTGTCAAGCTAAATTCTATACCAAAATAAAAGTGTTCGTACTAGAAAACTTTTTAATGCTTTTTCTCATAATTTTACCCAGTAAGATACAAACATGGTTTTTTTTCTAGATCTACCCACAGCAATTTCTCTTCTTGAAGTCAAAATCAATTCTTTGAATTCAATGAATGATTTATTTGAACATTGAAAAATTTTATGATGATAAAAGTCAAAAATCCTCGTCGATTTTGTTTTAACTGTTTTCCCCTATTTTGGACGAATTTAAGCCGAGGCTTAAGTTAAAGCAGTGTTAAAGATTTAAGGTGTTTATTTCTAAAAAAAAAAAAAAAATAATAAAATAGTGATCCTTAATAAAAATGAAATTAAAGTCCAATTTGAAGAGAATGCCACTGATGGCCTAGCTTTCAAAGTAATAGAGAATGCTTCCAAAATGCTTTACAAAGTACTAAAATATCTTAAAATTATTCTAAGCATCTAATTAAGGATAAATAATAATTTGTTTTTAATGTTGCCTTGTACCTATTGCAGCTTTAATAATTCCGTGTAATGTTAAGTTTTACTTTTAAGTATGACACAGCATTTCTTTTAACTTGTATGATTCGATTTCATTTGTTTTCTTTCAAACAAATGAATAAAGTGTACTTGCCTTGAATGGGTTTCTCTTTGTCTGGCTCATCATCTTTGACTTTCCTCTGATCGTTTCCTAAATAATCAGGCATAGCTTTAAATTCCGGGCTGTAGAAGCAGAGAAATTTCCAAAATATAAAGTTTTTCTTTTCTTTTCTCCTCAGAACAGACCTTTGTCAGCCCGGAAGTGCCTGTGTGACGTCACAGTATCAACACCGACACCTAACGGACAACAACGAAAGAAAAACAAACAAGAACGATAATCGAGAAGTTATTCACCCCGCTGTTCAAAAGTTCGCTTTACGCCATTGAAAGATCTCTTTCCATTATTAAGCTAAAAAAAGTGTTTGTTTTGCAGCAAGCCATTACAGAGGTAGTGCGAACCTCGAGCAGAGTGGAGCTACCACGCTCCTTCCGCGGGGACAACACTCAGCATCAAGCCGACTTAGCTTTGAACTTTGTGAGCATATGTGCTTTATCTCGAATTATTTATTCTGTGCATCCGTTAACAAAATGTATCCTAAGGTACCCGAAAAGCCTAAAAGAGTTCGTAAGGGAGTTACGCTTGGCGTAAAACTGGATGTAATTAAACGTTTCAGCCGTGGTGAACGGAATAAAGACATTGTGCGTGCATTGAATTTGCCGGCTTCAACCATTCGTACTATTTACAAGCAAAGAGAAAGAATCTTGAAAGCTGCCGAAGTTACTATTGGTTCTGCTAAAGTGGTCTCTTTTAGTCGGCATCCAGTAATGGATAAAATGGAAAGTCTATTGCTTGAGTGGATTGATGGGTGTACAAAGCGTGGCGATCCATTAACTTATCTTATAGTTAAAGAGAAATCAATCAGTCTTTTTAATAAATTGAAACAAAAAGCACTGGACGATGGGGATGAAAGTGTTGCAAAAGTAGAATTTAAAGGTAGCCATGGGTGGTTTGGTCGATTTTTAAGACGAGGGCAGCTTCATAACTTAAAGATTACTGGAGAAAGTGCTTCAGCCGATACTGAAGCTGCGGAAAAGTTCACAGAAGAACTGCAGAAAATAATAACAGCAGGTGGTTATACATATAAACAAGTGTTTAACTGTGACGAAACTGCAATTTATTGGAAAAAATTGCCAAGTAAGACATTTATTTCAATAGAAGAAAAACAGGCAAAGGGACACAAGCCTTCAAAGGACAAATTTACCCTAATGCCTATCATTAATGCCACTGGTGATGCTGTTCTTCGTCCTCTACTTGTGTATCATTCAGAAAATCCAAGAGCACTTAAAGGCGTTGATAAGAATATACTTCCAGTTGTGTTTCGTTCACATCCAAGCGGTTGGAATACCCAAGTGATTTTTTCTGAATATATGAATGTGTATGTTAGTCCTTTTGTTGAAAAATATTGTAAAGAAAATAACCTTGAAAATAGATGTCTTGTAATTGTGGATAACTGTACTGCTCACCCACCTGGAATTACCGAGTATGGCGGTAATATTCATGTTGTTTTCTTACCACTATATACGACAACATTGTTGCAACCATGTCACCAAGGCCTGATAGCCACAATTAAGGCTTACTATATGCAAAATGTGATGCGTTTTATTATAAATGCAATTGACAGAGAAGGTAATTCCAAAGTAGCTTTGCGAGGAATTTGGAAAGACTACAATATAAAACTGGCAATTGACAACCTTGGAGATGCTCTCAATCGGCTAACAATCTCAATGAGAAATGGTGTTTGGAAAAAATTGTGTCCTGAAGCAGTGAATGATTTTAAAGACTTTGAACCAACAACAATAAATACATCAATTGTGAATTTGGCTAAGGAGGCCGGATTTGTAGAAGTTGATGAAGATAATGTTGAAGAGATTTTAGCATCTCATGACCAAGAACTGACAGAGGAAGAGTTGATGCAGTTACAAGAGGAGAGGATAAGAATGGAAACTGATTGCCATAGTGAACAGCCTGAAAATGAAGTCATCCAGGAACTGAATGTGAAACATTTGCATGAGATTTTCACAAGGATTGACAATGCTGCAATGCTTGCACAAAAGTATGACTTTAATTTTGAACGGGCAAGGAAGTTTCGGGCAGGTTTAAAAGAAGTTTTGAGTGCCTACAAACAACTCTATGATGAGATGAGAGAGGCAAAGCAATCTAACATACAGACCGATTTCAAAGCTTCCACAACAGACAATGAATCACAACCTTCAACATCAAAACAGGCAGATATAGAAGACTTATTTTGGGTCTGGGAACGCTCAAAAATTTTTCCTGTATAAATTAATAGTAATTATTTCTACACTTAGAAATACCATTTATGTTTATGAAATGTTTCATTGGCACACTCTATTTCTAGACAGTAAAAGAAATCTGGAAAACTTTCTGAATATTTACAGTTAATGAATCATTTAATATCTGTTTCTCAAAAATACTTTTGTAAAATAATTCAAAAGTAGAGAATTTATCAAATATCTTATTTAAATGGAAGCATTTCACAGGTTTCAAATAAAGAGCTTGATATATTATCATTGTCATTGATAAAAAATATGACTCCATTTTTCTGGGGACATACAAACTTTTTGTTGACTGCACCAATTAATAATGTTGGTGCTTTATATTTTTTGAAAAGAAGAAAAAGAGCTCAATATTGTAAATATACATTTGAATAAAAAAAAAAACAGAATTTACATAATTTTCTTTAACTCATTTAAAAGCCCCCCCCCCCCAATTTTTTTTTTTTTTTATATATAAATGTATTATTCTGTAGATATATATTTCATTTTAGTTTCTGGTAAATTCAAAAAATAAAGCAATTGTGGATTAAATTTCACTCAATGTTATTTATTTATTATCTTAATAATTTATTAATTTTTTTCACACCAACATTTAATATGGTCTTTCAGAGTAAACATTTCCTTCACATATTTCAAAATGATTAATTGAAAATTATTTAAATAAATGCATTTTCTATTCATAATTATAATTTAAAAGAATCAGTAAAAGTACATTTTAAGTTTTTATTTGTCTATTATTTTAAATTTTTGCTAAAATAAAATTTTCACAGACTACCAAGAATTTTTGTCTCCTCACAGAAATACTGGGCAGTTTATAAGTGATGACAGCTACAATGGGATCAACATTGTTTTTATTTTTAGATGAAGTACTGTCAACCTTTCTTAATTTTGACTTTTCTGTCATAATTTTTAGTTACTTTTAATGTCAAGATGAAAGAAAATTACTCCTCAAAATTAATAAGAATAAGAGGATGGAATCTTTTTTACTTGCCACCTGTCTGACAGTGTATTGATAATATTTTTTTAATTTGAAATAAATTGTTAAATATTTTTTTTTATGTATAGCACTTTATTTCTTTGACTTGTAGTGAGTCCTAATATAGAAATCAAAATAATGCAGTTGCACTTTCCTTTAAAACCTCTCTCTCTCAACTTCATTTTTCTCTCAACCTGCAAGAAGGCAACTCTCAAATGAAAAGAGGAAGAAGAAATAATGAACTTGGCCAAAAACACTAAATTTGCAGGAGAAGAGTTTATTTATTTGTAACTAAAAATACCAAAAATCAGGGAAACGCCCTGCATAACTTCCGGTATAAAAAAATGAAAGAGAAAGGAACACTAAAAAATAAAAAAAAATGGCACAAAGATGTTTCAATGTTTACTCCAAATTCTTGAGCCTCTTCAAAAAGGATAAGAACCTAACACCTCTAGGCCAGATGGATGAGAGAGAGCAGACCAAAACCACAGAAGTTACTACTAGTGAAATATAAAGTAATAAAATCACCACATTAAGTGTTGCTTCTATGGTTTCCAAAGTAAGTTTTTATGCGGTGCAGTTGCTAGTTTCACACACAATTGGCTTTGAATTCAGAGTTGTCCTTCTCTTAGACTGGCTATCAATCAAAGCTATAGATCCCAGTCTACCTTACTTTTTCCCCTGTCTGGGAAGAGAAGACATGATTTCATACTATTCCAAGAGTATTCCTGCAAATGCAACTGCCTTGGCCAGAATTTGAACTCAACACACAAATCCCAATTTATGCACCCCTATGCTACATACACATCAGTTTTCATACTCAATAACTCAAAATTATGCTGGATTTTTTTAATCTTTTCACCCCAAGCAAACTGATAATGCCACTAAGACACAAAAAGGGTTATTGAGAGTGAAACAAAAAAACTTTAGGAGAAGGAACTGAGAACCCAATTCTAAACAGGAAGCAAGGGATAAACTTCTACACTCCCTTTCAAAAAACAGGAAAGAAATATGAACCAGGCAATAGGCAAACGTGAGCATAGAAGTAAAGTTAAGCAACAGCCTACTCATAGTTTCTGGCTTAATAACTTAAAAGTAAAATATTTTTCTTACAAAATTAAAATTATTTATATTGAGACTAATGTCTTGATCTTTGTTGTTATTATTACTTTGCAGCTGTTGTGCTTCTCTGGCTTTTTTCAGATATCTGCCAATCCAGGTAACCTGTGAAGAATTTTGAAGTGAATCCTTTTTTTAATCTATAAAGATAGAAGGTTATCATTCCATTGGTCATGTTTAAGGATATCTTGTCTTATTCTTTTTTAGTACTACTTAGTTATTGTTCCCTATATTTCCTCCAAATCTAAATATGTACTACCCAATCCAAGGATTGAACTCACAATTACTATGTGACTAAATTCATGAAGTTCAGACTGGAAATGAAAATTGTTATCTGGTAAAATAAGATACTGTAGAAACAGATACCAATGTAGCATTTAATTTCTCTAAAATATATTCAAAAATATTTCTTTATACAGTACCAGAGTTACTACATTAAACAAATTGGGCATCATTTGAAATCTCAGTAATACTGAATTTTGAATCAACTATTTTATCATATTAGTTAACCCAGTCTTTAAAAGGAATCCCCCCAGCATCCACCCACCAAAAAAAGAAATGACAAGAACTGTTAGGCATTCTAAAGTTACCCAATCTGGAAATTATGTACACCACCTTTTTTAACACTATTAAGCAAACCCAATTAACATCTTGTTATGAAAAGATGGAAAACCACATAACACTCAAAGATATTTTAATATTCATTCAGTTTCCATAAGATTGATAATATGTAAATATGCAATTATAAATTGATTAATGATAGATAATAATTAATTTAATAATAACAAAATATAAGTGAAATATACAAAAAATTAGGCTTTTTGTCATAGTGCAATGAGTCAAAAAACTGCAATGATAGAAATTTTTGTCATCCGCAATTAATAGTTGGTTGTTTTTTGAGTTTTTTTTGTTTAATAGCATATCAATACCTCTATGAGTTATTTAATGCTAAAATCTAAATATTTTGTATGCAATTTTATTTCATTTTTGGAGATAATAATGGTTTAGTGATACATATCTTACTAATTAATCCATAGCTGGAGAGAGAAGAGGTGGATTCATACCTTTCCCAGGGGTATTTGCACATAAGTAAATATAACAAACCCAACTGGAATTGGAACTTGACTCCCCAATTAACAATTCCAAGCCATTACACCACCCACAAGTCAAAGCTTACAGTACTTGGTATTCCCAAGTAGACACCCATCTAGGTATTGATCAGGCTCAACATTGCTTAACTTGAGTGATCGTACAGGAACCAATGTTTCAACGTGATATGCTCATAAAAGCCTGCAATTAATGGGTTAATTTAGAAAGGGCTATTTAAATATTACACTCCTGGAGAAAAAAAAAAACTTGATTAAAGAATTAATTTTAAATCTTTATTCAATTGCGAGTCTAACTTTAAAGGTCTATATTTTCATCCAATTCGATTTTTAATCTCTTAAAAATAAATGGAATTTTCAAATATTTCTAAAAGTTTTTGTTTCTCATTATTTAATATTTTCCCTTTATTTTCAAAGCCAAAAATATTTTATCAAGGTCATTAGTTCACTACATTCTGTTCGCAAAACTGTTTCGGAATTTTGATTTGAACATTCTCACCAAACTTTTAATTCCTAGCGAAAATAAGGCATATTACCCACACCGGAAGCGCAATTTCAGCGTCAATGGGACGTTTACGACCGGAAAATATCGAGTGCGCATGTGATAGAACGAGAAACGAATTTTTGTCGGTTATTACAAACGGAACTAAAGGAAGGGTCCCCTTCCTCTAACTACACGAAATAGGTTGTAGCTCGTCTCGTAACAACGTTGTTGTTTTTTAACCAACCGGCTCAAGTTCGAGCCTAGGATCAGGTATGTACATTTTGAACAATTATTGATATTTTATAATAGTGTCGAAATTCTGTCTTGTACTCCGATCAATACGAGCTGTAATATAGTTCTTGTTAAAGTTAGATCATCTTGCCAAGAAGAAACGTTGATTACGGTTTTTAATGAAGTTGTTGGTTGTGTTTTTTTTTTGTAATTTGTTTGAATTTACAAATGGATATAGACTTTAAGCAAGCAATGATCGATTTGATTTTATTGTTTTTCTCCTAAGTCCTAAAAAAATGTATTGTAGATAAAATAAAAAGGGCTTGGATGTGTGTTATATTTCGACTAGTAAAAACGAATTCCCCAGCTTAATCTTTAAAAAAAAAATGCTAATACAGATTTTAAAAATATTTATATATGACAAAAACGAGTTTGTTTACAAGACTGCAGTGTATCTGTGAGCTTCAGTTTACATTAAACCGCCATAGCGTTAATCAAAGGCAGGAGTCCGCTACCGGAAATGAAGCAATGCGCATGCACAACAAACCAGAAGTGACTAGGGAGCGGTTTGTATGTAACAGGTGGCGAGACTAAATGCTATTTTGGCAGGATCGTTGTTATCGTCAATGTTTGTTTTTATCGCAAGCTTCGTCTGTGGTCGGAATGTGATAATGTCGGACCGACAACTTATGGAAGTGATGTATAACTGACGATAGGCACTGGAAAAGTGAATAAAATCCACCTGGAGGTTGTAAATTGTTCAAAAACAAAATCTTTATTTGAAAATATAACAAACATGCCTCCCTGTTTATTGTGATTGTTTAACCCGGTTTGGGAAAGTTGGTGACTGGTTATTCTTTTAACTTGGACTTATTTTTCCTCTGGCGTCATAAAATCTTTTTTACGTTATTTCTTTTCTTGTCTATAAGTACGAATTGTTAAAAATTATGATGTTACGCGACATTTAATATTGTTTCTACTCGAACCCTGTGACTGATTTTTGAACCCAATCATTTTCACATTAACCCCCAACCAAAGATCACAGAACCAAAGACACAAAAAATAGCTGCATGTTTAAATTAGAATTCTTTTGGGGTTTTTAAATATATTTCCAACTTGAGATAAAAGGGCTCCGCTTTTCGGGGTTTTTTTTTCTTCCTTAAACAAGTTTCCTTTAAATTAAAAAAAATACCAAAAAACCCAAGTCAGAAAAGTAAAACACGTTTTATTTTATTTTGTATAACATTTTATTGAAAGGCCAAGGGTGGCAAAAAAAAAAAACAATATATTTCTATTTTTTTGACCGACATACACGAAAATATATTTTCACATTTTTTATTTGTATGTTTAGTTAGCATTAAAAAAGAAAAAAAAAACTCAGAATAACATCTTTTAGTAATTTTTGTTTTAATGAATAAAGAAGAAAATATAGAATTATTAAATTAAGGATTAATTAAGATTTGTTTTTAAAAGAAACATTTAAAAAGAGAATCCTGAACTTACATTTTCTTCTTATCAATATTTTAGGAGAAATATTTATTAATTCTATAAAAAATAGACATTTTTTTTATTATCTACTTCTACTACGTCACGTTTTTTATTCAAATCATTTTTATAAATTTGAAATTTTTCCTCTTAAAACATTTCAGAAAAGAATAAATTTTAAATGCCAATGAATCAACTCTAAATTGAAAAAATATATTTTCATTTTTAATAATTTGCTCAATTTAGGTTTTACAATTTTAAAATTTCGACTAAAGAAAAATCGAAGAATATTTTAATAGTATTTATTAATTATTTGTAAACATGGTTATATTCTGTTGGTTAAATTTTCCAAATATAAAATAAAAATATTGCTTTAATTAAATGAAAAAAATATTTAGTTAGATGCAAACAACACAATCCCAGGTAAGTATTTTTTATTTTCACTATTTTGAATGCAGTCATTTGCTTTGTTAGTTAGCTTAATTAAAACTTGAAAATTATTTTTGACGCTCTTTTTTAGTAAGAAATGTATTTGTATTTCCTAATCTAAGACTAAAAAAAATGGAATATTACTAGATTTAATTAATAATAAGAGTTTGAATTTGAATATCTCTAAAAATAAAAACAGGATCTTCTATCTTCAAAAGAAAAAGTAAAAATGCATTAATTCAGTAAATAAACAAGGAACTTTTTAAAAGATTCATTTTAAAAAATCTTGATTTTGAGCACAGAAAACAAAACATTCTTTAAAATGATTATTATTAGTGCTTTTTGTTTAGTGTTTGTTTACCAAAAAAATGTGTTGTTTTTACCTGTAAAAAATTATTTTAGCGCAAAATTAAATATTTTTCTTGTAAAGAAAATTCTTTAAATTTTTAAAATCATCACAAAAATCAGTTTTCTTTGGCAGATAAAAATAAAAAAAAAACCCTCAATGAACTGGACAGTATGTATTTTTTAAATTTTTAAGAAAAATATGTGCCTGAATTTTTTTGGTTTCCTTCTTGTTTAATTACCGTTTTTTTTCTGTGGTTTTTTTTTTTTTTTTTTCGTTAGTGCTCACTTAGAAAATAATACCCTTTTTAAATTGATGAAAAAAAGTTAACTAAAATAAATAAATCCTTAATTGTGAATTCATTAAATTATTTATTTACAAGAAAATTTTTCGGCTATCATCGAATAATTTGTTGAATCATGCATCTTTCTTGTTCGGTCGTTTTTTGTTTTTTTTTTACCAAAATTGAACAAAAATAAATAAAGCTAGAAACTGCACGCTCCGCTCTTCTGTAGAGACAGTGAAACCACTTTTCCTAATTATATTTTTATGCCAACAATAAAAATCTTACCCCTCCTCCCCAAAAAGCATCTACACAAGCAATGGGACATTTTTTTCTCGCATCTCCTATTTTATCATTTAGTTTTGACAAAAGTAATAATTTGTAGTAGTTGTTATTGACATATGATTTTACTTTACCAAACAAAGTGTTTGGGTGATCAGGGGAGCATTTTTTACCTCTACAAATCAACAGAAGAATTCTAAAGGCGTAATAAATTGTATGCATAATGAATGCGTAACAAAAAATAAGAGTATAAAACTTTTAGAATGGCTATTTTTTTCTTTCTTTCACATCCAAAATAAATATTTGTTAACCTTTGAAACCATTATTATTATTAGTTAAGATATACTTCGTGGCCGATTTTGAATACACCCGCCAAATTTGAAATTTGGAACTGGTAAACCGTAATTTTTTTTTTTTTTTTTTTTTTTTTTTTTTTTGCATAAACAAGGAAACAGTGTTATTCTTTTTAGTATTAAACTAATAAACACTTCTTCATTCAGTTACTTAAGAAAAAGAAGCTAATAATTTTCCGTAATTAAACATAAATAATTTTGCTTTTTTCTTTTTAAAAATATTTTAAATTGTAACTGAACGTGTGTATGTTGTCATGTGTTGATCTCTCGGTTTTACAGAGTTTTATCACTTAAAGTTTAAATGTAGATTTAAAAACACGCGATGTTTTTAATCATTGATTCTCACTTTTAGGGTGTATTAAAAAAAAATAAATAATTTGAATCTGATTTTTAGAAAAAATAGTTCAAAGTTCTAATTTTTTCTTACGAATTATTAAAAAAAAAAAATGTTCTTAATTTCTATTTTTCCAATTTTTACAAATTTTCTCTCCCTATCCTCAGAAAAACGAAAAAGTAAAATCTTTCAGTGGCAATGAGAATTATTCTCATATTTCTTAAATGATGCAATGATGAGATTGAGCTGCATCCTACACTTAATGACACATCACATCAAAATTAAACAGATTTCTTCATGAATGAAGTAGGTTAAAGTTTCAGTAAAAAAAAAAAAAAAATAGGCCCAAACATTTTAAAAAGAAGTACACTTATCAAAAGTTGAAGATGATTCGGTAAAGGATTTATCACTTTTCCCCTACTCTAGGAATAACGAACTTCAATTTATTGGCTACAAAGAATTTATTTTTATATTTATAAGGATGGAAAAAAAAATGTGTAAGAAATGTCATCCCAAGAAAAAGTTTGGTAATATATTTAATCACTTTCAAGACATTGTTTCTTGCACAAAAGTTCAATTTAAATTATTAGTAGCAGGGAACAATTACATTTTCAATGTTTTCACAAATAAAAATTTATAATATATACAGTGAAATAATTTCTTTTTGTTTTTGTTTGTACAGCAATGCCTTCCAAACAACAGCTGGACAAAGAAGCCTGGGGCTGGATTGACACGACTGAACCAAATGAAGTGACCCTAGAACATGTTAAATATGCTTATCACATAAATTTGCAAGCATGTGAGGCTGGGACATGCAAGTATGTATTTTATTCTCAAATAAGCTCTTCTTATTACAAAAGTCTTTGAAGATAGATACCTGACCTTTTTTAACATCCAACATTCCAAACATCATAAATTACTGTTTTTCACACACACACACACACACACACACACACACACATTGTTTGTGCTTATTTTAAAAATAATATATAAGGATGTGCAGGTAGCATGATGGATATTGGTGCAGAAAGGGAAAATCAGCAAGCCAAGTTCAAATTCCAGGCTAGTTTGCTGTATTCACCTTTCAGTGAATGCCCTTGAGAAAGGCATGAATCCATCTTTTCTCTCCCACACACCAACTATGAGTTAAATAGCAAAGTAAGCTGGGCTCTCTAACATTGGATAGCAACCAAGTAAAGAGAAGGAATATTTTTGAATACAAACCATGCAGAAGGAAATGGAAAACCATTCCACTATCTTTCCCAAGAAGACCTGTCAATTCAAAAATGATAATGGGAATCTGTAAAGTCTTGATTGCCTATGCACTAATGAGACATGACATCAAAAGAAGAAGAAAAAAAAACAATCAGGAAGCAATCCTTTGTTTAAATATGTTAAACAGAATGAACAGGATATGTTCTGTTACTGTTTCAGTAGTTTCCCCTGATAAGGCAACTTGTAAAAACTTCCTGAAATTATGTTGCAAGGACATTCATGGTTTTCAAAAGTTAAATAGAAAGGTAGCCAGTGTAGCTTTTATTTTGTTAACGTTCCAAAGTTTAAAATGAACATAGATTCACATGTTGTTGTCAATTAGAATTTCGTTTGGCAGACCCCACTCACGAAAGACAGCTTCCAATTGACGCATCACACTGCTTGAGACCTGGCATTGAATGGGCTGCAATGTCATGAATTGAGAGGGTCCTCAGTCAGTGAGAGTTAAAAAGTGTCCACCTTTCCCCTCTCCCAATGTCAGAACTATCTGTTGACGTTCCATACAAGATTTTATTATAGATCTTATAGCTGCCTTTGATGTCGATGGACTAACTCACCTTATGAGTTAGTGTGTCTACATCTAAGACAGGAAGCCAGTAAATGTCCAATATCTGGCTCTTGCTCAGAAAAGCAATGCAAACTTTCAATGTCATCGCTTCTCCCTTCTTCATAGCCTTGAACCATTTTTGTGGTACTCTTGTTGGCTCTGGGTTTGTCTATATTTCTGAGATGAGGTATTATGTACAGTATTTACATTAGTCGGACTATTGTCCTCATCTTTGTCGCCATATTTGTCACAACGTTTGATAACTTGTACGCCCGCCTTCTTCAGGTGGTTGGAATTTCAACTAAACCCTTTATTTCGATCGCTGGGGTAGACTGTTCTTTATCCACTGTGCCATGTGTAGGACACATGGCACAGTGGATAAAGGCGTTGGTTAGATCCAGTGACAGACCCAAAGAAGGTGAGTTCAATTCCTGGTTAAGGCAGTGGAGAACTTTCAGAGGGAAAATTAGCAGGAGATAACTGATAACTGACATCCATCAAACATGGCACGGGAATTAGAACAGTCTACCCCAGCGATCGAAATAAAGGGTTTAGTTCGAAATTCCAACCACCTGAAGAAGGCCGGAGCGTACAACGGCCGAAACGTTGTGACAAATATGGCGACAAAGATGAGGACAATAGTCCGACTAATGTAAATACTTGTTGGCTCTGTTCTGAACTCACTAATGTCAATTGACAACCCATATTCTTCACTCAGCTGTGAGAGTGTTTGATACCTTCTCTTCATCAGCATTTCTCCTGCTGTCTTGGTGTGCACTTTTGCCTTGCTAATCAAGCTGTTCTTAAGTCAATGATAAATGTACAAGGAATTGTTTTTTAGATGGAGCACTTTCACTTGCTATTGAGCAGATAGATTGATGGCTTTTATTACTTCATCAAACTCAGCCAAATTGATATGCTGGAGCCATTGTTTGGAGACACCCAGCATGTGTCCTCAATCACCACCCGATTTTCTTCCAGTGATATCCCAGTCGAAGATATCATCATCTTCAAAGTATCATTAGTCAACTATTCATCCCATTGATGAATCTGTTGGCCACTCTGGGGAAATGTCCAATGTCTTGAGATAGTACAACTTCAACAATTGCTTTCATTATCATCGGTGATGTGTTGAGACCAAATCCCAGGTGCATCAGACGTCTTTGACCTTGGTTCACTACTGTTTCGTATGGCTACAATGATTTGTGAATGTAAACCTGAAGATATGCTTTCCTCAAATTCAGTAATGTTACATTTGCACCATATTTCTTTTTTTTTCTTTTTTTTTTTTTTTTTTTTTTTTTTTTTTCCATCATGCCCTCAACTTGGCCATGCAGATGTCAGCTTCAGCTGTAAATATGTCAACAATTTGATTGAGCTGTCTACAGTTCATAACTGGGCATACTTTGTTGTGTTGGATCACAGCCCTTCTCGGAACCAGTCCTTTAAGGGGATCAAGTTTTTCTTTGGTGTAGGGCAGCAGCCATCCATTTTGTATCTAACTCTAAAATTTGGCTTCATAGCTACTCCTGACATGTTTGGGAATGTGATATTCCACTATCTCATTACACAGAGCCTCTGGTGCATATCCTCCTGACCACTTCTACTTTGTAGTTCAACAATTCTAGGTTTGGTCAAACTGTGCAGAAATCAGACACATAAAGTCAAATTGCTGTCATTCACTTTCCTTCTGGCAAAGCTTACTACTCCAGCTGGCATGATGGTGATGTCACCAACCACACTTATCACGTCAACTCAAAGTATGAGGTCAAACCCCAACAGTTGCCTGTCTCCAACTAAGGCTCCGATGTTCATCGGCTTATACTGGCCTTGTCTGCAGCATTTCAGAGTTTTTTCTGTCAACACATTTCACTAAACTTCCAGGAGCAGCACATAAACCTGCTAATCAGTGTCCACCAAGGCTGTATACTTCCTTCCATTCAAAATTATGTCTGCTGTTGACTGCTTCTCTTTCTTCACTTCCTTGGGGAACAAGTTGACGCTGACATCTTCCCTGAGGTGTTTCTCTGATGCGACATACCTGGCCTTATTACATTGGAAACATCATGTCACATACTTCAGCATAACTGGCACAGTTGATCAATGTTTTTTTTTTTCATGTCCCTGCAATCAGTCCCTAGCCAAATGATGGGACTGGAGCATTTATAACAGATGATCTCACACTTTTACATTTCAGTCAGCACATGAGCTTGCTGAGCAACAGCAGAGATCTCTTCAGGATCCTCGGGCATAATGGCCCGTGCCCAAGTTGCTAGTTGTTCTAATGTCATGACATCCATTCTAGACAACACCCGGAAAGGCCACTACATGTGCTGTTGCAGTTCCAACACAAATGCACATTCCATCTGCCATTCTTCAACAAGCAGATCAAGTTGTCACAAATTTGCTAGATACTTGTTTCACTGTCTCTTCCAGGTGAAGTTGTTTCACTACAAATTGGTTGTCTACAACGAACAAGTTCAGAGCCTAGGCATGTACGAGGGTCCATTCAATGTGCTGCAAACTTGCCTTCTCTTCCCTGTCTGTTTGTTAGTATATGATGAAAATGCTCTCACACAGATGCTGTGGCAGTATTCACTCAACATCCATTCTCTTGCAAAGGTCACATATCATCTCAACACATTGAATTCATTGTATAACTGGTTCATCTGTAGCACTAACACCAAAGTCTGGACTTATTTGGTAATTAAATATTTTGTCCATGACAAAATGGAAGAAATTCAATATGCCAAAATAGCTTGTGGTAGATAGTCACAAAGAGCCCTGTCCTAACAAGTCAGTCCTGAAGCCCTTCTGCACTCATCTGTGCAGCTCATTTTTTATTCAGGTTTTTGACCACGTGCAAATTAGTGATAGTTTTAAAAGAGCTACAACCACACATGCACTCTGACTAAATTGCAAATGACAGCTTTGACTGGGCAGGCAAGATATTATGACCTCTTAGCCTCTGGTAAGTTAGTTTTTTGGTCCCATTTTACCCCAGATATCATTGACATTATTACACAAAATATTTATAACTAATCTGCTCAGTTTCTCTCCCTGGCTTCTTAAAATCAAATTTGACAAACTTCTAGTATGTACCACACATTCTGCTTCTATCATAATCTAAGGAGGTATATGCACACAAACTGATGGCATAGCTATTGGATCTTCCCTAGGATTTTTTTTTCTGAAATTATGTGACACACCTTGAAAATTTTGAAAATTTAACTTTTAACACAACATGTATATGGTCAGTGCATCTACAATCTATTCCTTCTCACAAAACTTTTCAGAAACTTTTTTTCTTTTTTTTCTTTTTAAATAATAACAATATTTTTCTTATATTCACTATAAATAAAACTAAAAAAAAAAATATCAACACAGTATTTTGTTGGAGTTTAAAATTTTCCATTGTAAACATAATTTTAGCAGTTTTTTTGTAAAATTTAATCACAACTCTTATGGCATTTCAGAAATCTAAAACATACACGCATATATTATTAAGGAAATTTAAAAAAAAAAAAATTCACTTACTGATGCAATAAGAATAGTTTTATTAAATTTAAATAATTAGATGCATTTTTCTAGATTTTCTAAAATGTGAATGTATTAGATATTCATGTTCTATTTCTATTGAGTTTTAATAGTTTTATTTTTTAACAACTTTTTCTCATTTATGTCTATGGAATTGAATAATTGATCAATTCTTCTAATGGTATAAAATGTATAAAAATGAACTTTTACACTATTGTGGGTGTCCATCTCAATAACGTTTATGAGAATACATTTTATATTTGTATATGTATATATTCATAATCGGGTAAAAATAATTGGCTATAGATGACGTATCATTTCATTCTCTTGCACTTCAAAAAATGAAAATATTTAAATTGAAAATAATTATCCATAACTGGATGTTAATATGAATACAACTTTTTATGAGAACTGTTTTTTTTTTTCTTTAAACTATTGTAATTTTTCTTTTAAGAAAACAGTCCGAATTTAAAAATATAAAAGTTGACTGAAACACTTCAAAAATTTTACAAAATGTTCAAAGCTATGTGTAGGAAACATTAACAAGTTTAATCCTGTTTGTCAGTAATTAAAATGTTTATTTTAAACAGGGATATTTAAAAAAAAAATTTTCAATCTACAGACGGAATTGTCGTGGCAACCCATTCTGTTTGAATGGCATTGGTGAACGGATGTGGCTGGGCCAGATCGATGAACGTAAGTGGCACGACATTGAGGACCCTAACCATGAACGACGCAGCCTGGTGGGTAATTTTAAAAGGGCTGGCAGTGTATGCATGTGCGCATGATCCTCTGTTGTGTTTGTGCCAGTTAATCCTCTATGTGTGAGTGTGAATGCATGTCATTTTCTGTTACATGTGTATTCAGTGGTGACTATCAATGGAACACTGAACAAATGAAGTATTATATTTGCCTTTCATTGGTGTGGCCTTAATGTGAAACAAAAAGAATCCCACCAACATTTTGTCATATTTTATCCACTCCTCATGAAAAGAAGTAACAAGAAAGTGCATTCAGTTGATGTTAGAAGAGAATGTCGTTCTATCTGTCTGGGAAGAATATCAATTTGCAGTGCTATCTGTAGTTATTTGAAATTCTCTGTAAGAGAATTAAATAAAATAGGGAAGCTTTGTGGTAACTGGTAATTCAAGTTATGTCCATTAAAATCAATATAATTACTAAGCTAATTGAATGGCTAATATACCCAAGACGCACTGCATATGACCAAAGACGTTATTTTTCTCTTAATCCACATTGATTTATTTTTCTTATATTTTTTATGAAGAAAATAAACAATTACTGAATCTTGAAATTTTTGAAGTCTAAAAAAAAAAGGGCTTCAGTAAAATTCAGTTTATCCAACTCTAATGTCACTACTGCATAGGCATGTGATTCTGTATTTATTTTCATTTTTTATGATGACTTTCATTGCTATATAAACTCCTGTTTGTAGCTCTATTTTGTGAATGGCAACATTATCCAGCCTTGTTACAAACATAACTATGTTTTGTTCATTCATAACATGTGTAAAAATGTATAAATCAATGTGTAGAGATGTGTTAATAAAATTAGCAGCTGTAAAAGGGACTTTTAACCTTTTTTTTTTTTTAATCACAAATACACACAAAAGCTAATAAAGAACAAAAACCATGAGTATAAATAATTTCTTGCATATGCACCAAAATACCATTTTTATTTATTTATTTATTTATTCTGACATTTATACATAAAACTAAATTATTGCATTATCATTTAAAATGAATTATGCTGGTATACTTGTAACTAAATCATTGTTGTAATTATATTCTTCGTGTATATTAGGAATTGCAGAAAATTCTTTTAACTTTTTCTATAGATTTTAATGATTGGAAACTAATAAAACATCATTGCTAATTGAATATAAATTTTATGAATTAAATATTACCTTTTTACAACTTGATTTATTAAATATGTTTGTCCCTGACTCCTAAATTTTGTCCTTAATTTAATTCAGATTTTAATCTGCTATCAGCATATTTATTCCCCCCTATATTTATATTTTTATATTTATTTCCCCTACATTTGATTATTTTAATGTATGTTAGCATTCAAAAAACACATTGGAAAATTGTCAAATTTCTGTATTTATCATCTGCCCTAAGAATTAAAGGAATTAGTTTCTTCTTTTTTTATTATTATTTTTAGACCGAAGCATGCAAACTGTATACACTAAGTTTTTAATTTGAAAATAGTGATCCTTATTTCAACTAAAATCACTATTCCAATAATTTGAATAAATAAAATGTGATGAATCACTATTACAGCTGCTGTTTTATAGAAGCTTATCTGTTAAAAAAATCTTTTAAGTCATCAAATTTCATATTTATTTTGAAGACAATGTATTGTTACAATTTATACACGGATTTATTTGGACTGTTTTGTTTTTGTTTCCTCCCACCCTTCATGCATACAATACTTTGGTCAAAATACCTTCTGGAGATATTGAACAGAATCTTTTTTCTGAAAATCTCTAGAAAGAGACTTTCAGAAGTCTTTCATTCTTCCTTGTAATATTAATCTGGTACAATGGGATACTGAAAATTTCTCTGTCCTAATCAGGAGGGATCCCACTCCTTAAAATTCTGACATTTGTTCATTTAGTCAGGTTTTGCAAAGTGGGTCAGATCAAGAACTTTTCAGCACCTTGTAGACTTTATCCACTTACTCAGCCATGTAAAGTAAGTTATTTTTTTTATTTATTTTTTTTTTTTTTTACATCAGATGAAGATTTCCTTGTCAGTGTACTGATTATCTTGATTAGGGATCATTTCAGTTTGGAACCTTGGTAACTGGCAAATGAAATTTCATGGAATACTTTCATGAATTTGAAGAAGATTGTAGATGTTTGTATTAGTTTACTGTCATTTTGCTTCAATGACTTGTCACAGTTTATTCTTGATTTCAGTGCTTATCTCCCTTTCCATCTTGGCTTATTTGATTGTGTTTTAAGAATCTTCTTGACAGTCTCTACAATTGGGGCAGCTAAATGTAGTACTCAATGGTGATTGTCATATTCCTTTGCTGGTATTGATAGTTGCTTTAACAACAAAGACAAGAGAACTGGTCCAAATAAATCAATGTACAAAAGCATTACATATTTATCTTGTGTATTTATAGTGCTGATATACTGCATTTTTGTCTTTCCTTTTGTATTTTGCATTTTTCACCTTTTGAAGATATATATATTCATGCATATTTTGTATATGATAATTTTTAAAAATACATTTGTTTTTCTTTGTCCGTTTTTTTCTCTCTCTCTTATAGAAATATTCAAAAATAGTTTCTAACATTTTTGCTTCAAAACCTGTGCAAAGAAATGTTCACAAAGTGATGCACATTTATAATAAAGCTTTCCTTTTTTCCTGGTAAAATTCAAATAATTGTCTCAAGTTTCTAGAATTTAACAAGTTGTGAACAAAATTATTGACTATTGCTTTAAAGACCAGTTTGTTATTACTAAACTATATATTTTAAAACTCAAATTAGATTTAAAGAAGCAAATCCTCTTTAATTTATAAACTGACATGAACCTGCTGAGCAATGCCACCAAAATTAATAATACAATTTTCACTTAACATTTGAACATTTATCAAATATACAGTGACTTTTTTTTTTTTTTTTTTTAAGAGAGAGAGAGAGAGGGAGGGAGAGAGCGTATTCAATTTCCTGATCTGTGAAGTACAGAGTTTTTCCTGTGGCAGAAACTAAAAATGTATCACTGTAAACAAAGACATATTATAATTGAATTTAATGATGGATAGCACCAAAAGTTCAAACAAACATCACATCAAAAATAGAATATGGACAAAATGTATGGATTTGTTTTGTGCTTTTTCCTACAAAATAGCTATAATTGTCAAGATGCAGGCTTTTTAACTTGCTTTCTACTTATCAATATAGTTTATTCAAAGTAAATTACTTTTAAAACTTTATGAAAAATAATATAAAACATTCAACCCCCAAATATAGCACAAATCAGCCACACCTATTTCATTGATAAATATGTAAAAAAAATTTTCAATTTATTTTATCATAAACATACCAGTAATCTAGCAAGCTCAATCCAGTTTGGAGGGTCTTGCATTATCAGCAGTAATAGTGACTGTTTACAAATTCAATTTTTGAATATTACAACAAAAACATTTGAAGATCACTACATAATTGCAGTCATAATGATGCATATTCTCAGGTGATTGTAAATTACTGGCAAGTGAATGATTAATTTGGTTTCAAAAGCAAAATACATCCTCATTTTAAAAAAATAAAATAAATTATGAAATTAAAAAAAATAATGGCTTGGAGGCTTTACCCTGATCAACAAATCAAATATGATCTACATTAAATTCAAACTAAGTGAAAAAAAAAAAAATAAATAAATTATCTTACAAATGTGTCAAGGCAAAGATCTGACATCTAACAGCAGCCAGACATTAACTTAAAGACTGATACAAATGGCTAGAATAAATGTACACATGTCAACTCTCTTGAGAAATAAAAAGTGGGGTAAAAACAAAATAAAAATAAAAAGTGTAGAGTGGTAATTTAACAGAATGCCCAATTAAATGTTATGAACATGGAAGTGTACTCTATTCGTTATCATTGTACTTGGACATATATATATATATATATATAAAAACTATAACAGACTAGATATCTATTATGTTTGAACATTATTTTTTTCTATTATGCTGTTCCTTGATCTAAGATTTTGGCTCACATGGCCATCTTCAGAGTGGTTATATGCACATTTAAACAAAGGTATTCACCATCAAAGATGATATTCTGTTATGTTGACATAGAAGATAACGGTTGCAGAATAGCAGATGCCGGTCATAAATTTGTGATGCGGTTCTATGACATCATACCATGTGAGAGAACGAAATATTAGTAATAGAACCATATGTTTAGATGCAATGTAATATGTTGTGACTGGTTTGAAATGTAATTTTATTGAGCGTGGGTGGCTTTGTTTTAATGTAGATGGCCTCCAATATCTTAAGGTTCTTTTTACTGTGTGTATGTGTGAGTATTATTGTGTTATCAACTAATATCTGTGTAATATTATGTACATGGCTATGTTTTTCTAAGAAATGTTTTAATAGAATTAAGATCAGAAAGATGACAGGTAAGTCTACAGGAAAGTATGGTTGTAGTAAAACCATATGAATGGGCAGTTAAATTGATACACTACATTGTTTTTTTTTTTTGTAGAGGATTTAGTTGTGTGGTTGTAGGGTTATTAAAGACTATGAGGTCAATTGTTTTAAATTTTTTTTATATAATGAGCTTAACATTTCTACCTATTATGTTTTTGAGTTGTTTCATCATGTTTGTGATTATGCATTTGGTTACAATAGTATAGGTTAATAGTATTATGGTTATTTTGATGTAAACTATTATATTATGGTTACAATTATTATTATCAATTTTGTTAGAGATATTAAGTTTGAGATACATTTTAATTTGTTGATCAATGATGGAATTAGGGAATCCATTATTAACAAGTGTTTGTTTAATATTATGTAATTCTTTATAGAATATGGTTTTGGAAGAAGATATAATTTGTGTGTGTATAACAGCTAACTTATGTCATTGGAGGCATTCACTATTTTAATTAAGAAGACACGAGAATGCTAGTGGGTTTTCTATATAGAGAAGTAGTAATTTATTTTATGGAATTAATAAGTATATCAAGGAATGGAATTTATTATTAAGTTCTAGTGTAAATATGAGGATGGAGTGATTTTCAAATTTGTTTTTAAGTTGTGTAATTTAATCAATATTTTTAGCTAAAATGCAAATGTCATCTATGTATCTCCCATATATAGAGGATTTATTAGTGTTATTATGTATTCTATTTTCTAAATGTGCCATATAATATATTATTATATATAATAATCACATTTCTGATCTTAGTTTTATTAAACAACATTTCTTAGAAAAACATTGCCATGTACATAATATTAAACAGCTATTAGTTGATAACACAACAATATTCACCCATACACACAGCAAAAAGAACCTTCAGATATTGGAGGCCATTTACATTAAAACAAAGCAACTCACACTCTACAAAATTACATTTCAAACTGGTCACAACACAATACATTACATCTAAACATGATTTTGCTGTTAACGTTTTCTCACATGGCACGACATCATAGAACCACATCACAAACTTACAACCTGCATCTGCTATTCCATAACCATTATCGTCGTAAAACAATCTTCTATGTCAACATAACAAGATATCATCTTTAATGGTGAATATCTTTATTTAAATGGTCATATAACCACTCTGAAGATGGCTCATGTGAGCCAAAAACTTAGATCAAGTAACTGCATAATAAAATAATATCCAAATGTTCAACAGTTTTTGTCTTTTATTTTCTGGAATTAAAGTAACTATATGAAATTTAGAATGGCTCATGATCTAACATAATAGACATTTGCATTTAATAATATATGTTTGAATAATGATCTGCTGCCCCAATACACTAATATATATATATATATATATATATATATATATATTATATGTGGATTCTCAACCATACGTGTTGAGAACCACAGCCTTGTATACGTTGATTTTGGTTCTGTCTCACACCATGTTCATCCAATAGCCTACGTCTAAGCATTCCAAAGAAACTGATTTCTCTCGCAATCCATTGTGTGACCTCGTCATATATACTCAATGAGTTTGACAAAATACTTTCTAGATAACAGACATTCTCTACTGACTTTAGAGGAATGGTGTTGATATAGACAAGGGGATTGGTATAGCTCTTGTCAGGAGCTGGTTGATACATGACTTCAGTTTTCTTTATATCCAGCCAGTTCATTTTGACACCCAAGCAAACATGGATGTTATTAAGTGGATCTCTTCCAAGGAGTGGGCCATGAGGATGCAGTTGTCAGCATAAAGCAGCTCACAGATCAGCATTGTCATGTTCTTTATATGGGCTTGGAAGTCATCTGAGGTTGAACAGGACCCTGTCTGAATGGAACTTTATGTAGACCCCCTTGTCTAGGGGTCATGGAATGTGTCAAGCAGCATAATAAAGAACAGGGTTGGAGCAAGGACACAGCCTTATTTGGTGCCATTGGTAACATTGAATGAAGGGTGAAAATATATATATTCTCAAGCCAATTTAAAAGTAACTTAAAGAATTTACCTATATTTTTTTTATATATTGTTAAGAATAAGGCATATGACATTGTTTGGCAAAAATCCTAGGGTGTTTAAGTTTAAATGTCAAATTACCTCCTCGATTATTATCCGCTCAAGCTGCTGTCCATCCGATGACCTGGGGAAGGGGGATCCAGTCCCCTGTGAGCCATTTAAAAAATCAGTCCACACATTGGATTGGGTGTTTGTAACAACCAATCCAATGCACAGAAAATGTGGTCTACTTTTGTCCAATTAATATAAAATTCAGAGTTTCTGCTAGTGTTTGATAATGGAGAGAGGGATCAGAGTGTGATCTTCCCTGACTGGGGTCAGCTTGGTGATGTTGAAAGACCTGAAACTCCCTGATGAACTAAGTCAATTTACATCACTGACTATTCCCTCCGGTGCCCTAGTTAGGAGCATATATTCAAAAATATATTATCAACTCCACAGTAAGAAAATCCTAAATGAGTCATAAGTTAGTAAAAAAAAATTTTTTTTTTTTTGCTGTTTTTTTTCTTAAATTGGCCCCATCCAACTATACAAAGGATTGCTTAAAAACATTTTCTGGTTTGACCAAGAAGGAATCCCAAAATAAATTTTGATATTTGGTTATTCAGATTTGTGAAGTGGATCAAACTAAAAACTATTCAACACCCTTTTTTATATATATATATATATATATATATATATATATATAATATAATATATATATATATAATATATATATATATATATATATAATATATATATATATATATATATATATATATATATATATATATATATATATATATATATATATATATATATATATATATATATATATATATATATATATATATATATATATATATATATATATATATATATATATATATATATATATATATATATATATATATATATATATATATATATAATATATATATATATATATATATATATATATATATATATATATATATATATATATATATATATATATATATATATATATATATATATATATATATATATATATATATATATATATATATATATACATACATACACACACTTTATTTTAGGATTTTACATCAAAAAATCTTGTCAAAATCCAAATACACAATTGCAGTTGTTTTTCAATGCGCATACAATACATCTCATCATTAGTCAACAGTTGCATATTAATTTACTAAATAAACCTATAGATTTAAATTATTTATTGTTTTCTTAAAGAAGCTATTTATTTATCAGCTATAAAAATGGTTTTTATATGGGGAAACTTACAAAGCATATAACTTGTCCAGCATTTTGTTAGATTACCACTTAATTTTTCTTGGGAAATGGCATTGTATAAATATACAAAATGTATCCATCCACATCTGCTCTTGTTTGGCATTTGTTGCTTGTCATCGACTTCAAACCTATGGGTCAGGACCCATTTATGGAAAATAATTTAACTTTTGCTTCTTCCCTTAGATTAAATTTAATTAATAATTGATTGGTTAATCTAAAAATTATAACCACCCCTCCTTTTCTTTATTTTTCTTTTTTGTGAAATGAGGCTGTATTTTTGCTTTTAAATCTGATTAAATCATTCACTTGCCAGTGATTTACAATCACCTGATGAGATGCATTGTATGTGCATCAAAACATGCCTACAATTGTGTAGCAATTTTGACATGTTTTTAATGTAATATCCTAAAATAAAGATATTGCTCTACTTTATATCAAGTCCTCTTTTAAATTAAATGTTATGAATGTTGGAATTGTACTCTAATTATTCTCATCTTACCTGGGTATATATAATATATATATAATATATATATATAATGACAGACAAAAGGAAAACTGATCCACTGTAAAATTTATTTTAAAAAAATGATCCATTAATTTTCTCATCAGCTATAGGTATTGTGCAGTTCCTGGTCATTTTCATTTTCCAGTTTATTGAACTTTTTAAATAATTATACATATATGTCTAAGCAATTTTCATTTAACACAAGGTATGAATGTGTTTGCAAATCAACTGAATTGTCTTCACAACTCTTATAAAAACACACGAAACTGGTTATTTCTAAAGTTAAAAAAAAAAAATGACCATTTTAAAAACCTAGAAGTTTTTGCCATAATTTTTTTTCTTTTGATGACCTGAAGGATTTTTATCTGCAATCTTTTTTCCTATCTATTTTCAGAATTCTTTTGTTGGGCTGAAGAATCTTGGAGCTACCTGTTATGTTAACACTTTTCTCCAGGTGAGTATTGATAATTTTGCTACTTAATATCCTAAATTCATTTGATATGATCCTCTAACTTCTGTAAGAAGAAATTAAGATTAACATTATCTTAGCCTATTAAAATCGTGATGTTAGAAGTGAATGATTATCTTTGTATTCTGATAACAAATGTATTTGTAAATTATATGTAACAATTGTGATGGCTAAAACAATCAAATTTCAGTTTTCAAATTTTCTAAATGAATCTTTTTTTTTAAAACTTACATTTTCTCACTTCTCCAGCTATGGTTCCACAATCCAGAGGTGAGAAGGGCTGTCTACCAATGGAGAAGCAGAGATGAGCCCCCACCTCAAAGCCCAATTGGTAAGTTAATAATATCTAATTATCCAAAAAGAAAGCCTTCATAATCTGTTTTATTTAAATGAGTATCTTCTGTTTTCTTTTTTTCCATACCTCCCCCAACGTTTTCAGTGCAATGTTCAGTTCTTCAACCTATTTGTCTTGTGCTTCAAAATGACTGCATTTTTTAATGTTGAGTTTTTATAGGAAACTATTGAAGCTGCTACAATTATATACAATAAAGACCTGTAATAAGTGTTGTGTTGTAATGAATGCACACACATTTCAAATTAACCTATGTATAGAATATGTAAAATTATATAATGGCTTCCATTTATCTACAAAGAATAAAGTAAACATTTTGTCTGCTTGTGTGCATCACTCATTTCGTTTTCTATAAAAAAAACAAATCCATATGATTGAAAATTGATCAGAGTGCAAACATATTTGGAGTTCATGCCTTTCACTAAATTTTTGATCAAAATGACTGAACACCCCCCTCCCTACACACACACACACACTCCCGGAGCAAAAGACGAAAAAAAATTAAAATTCTGGCTAATATACAATTCTGTAAATTCATGTGCAAATAATTCTCTAGGTTTTAGAATTTTGCATCTTTTTTCTGATTAACTGACAATCATTTAATTTCTATTTTACAGAGCTTAAATGTATTGAATGAAATGTCTTTTTGACATTTAAACTTGTATTCAGCTTCTATATATTTTATACCTACTAATTACAAATGGTGGACAGTTGACATTATTTTATTTGATCAATTATTAACATATAGAAAGAACAGGTAGATACCACTGAAACAAAGAGTTGCTCCTTTGAATTTTTGCATGTAATAAAACATTTTTCATTTTTGTGTGTGTGTCTACCATATAAACTATACTTCATTCATTTTTTTTCTCCTTCAGATTCTGAGTGGACCCCATCATCCATTTGTGGACATTTGCAGTTAATCTTTGCCCTTCTTGAGTTTAGTAAGCAAAGGTGAGTTTTGTCAAAAGAAAAAAAAGATTCTCTCTCATTTCCTCATCTATGTCTATAAAACAGAAGATGTGTGTGTGTGTGTGTGCTATTTATGCATGACCACATTTCTCAACCAATTTCAATGAAATTGTACACACATGTTGCAAATTTACCAAGATAGGTCAAGACCAACTTTTCACTCTCCAGGCCTCCCAGGTTTGGCAGAAAAGCGATAAAACTTGAAGAGAGTACAACTTTTTGCAGAAATCAAGGGAAAGTTACACATGAACATAATTTTTATTGGATGAGCTGGTGTTCTTTGCACTTAATACAAAATATAGCTCATGTTACAAGGTTTAGGTAGAGTGCTTGATAGTTTTCCTGCAACATTGGCTTCACACAAAAAATTGTAAAACAACTGAAAAAATCAGGTTTTTCATACTACTTAAAATAAAAATTTAAATAACTTATTTTTTATCTGATTTTCTTCAAACATGTCACAAAAAATTTGCCATCATGCAAGAAATAAGAGTGGTTTTATTCCTGCTCACTTCCATGAAAAACCAGAAAAAACTGTCCAAAAAGCTTATTTTTTGGCCATAACTTCCTGGTTTTTCATCCAATCACATATGACAAAAATTGACTTGCGTGAATGTTTGGTTTAGATTATTTCAGTTAAGTGGATGAAATCTGCAACAAACTAGGTACAAAATCGGCGTTTACCATTTAGCCAATAGTTTCTTCATATGATTCCATCCCAAATTGGCATTAGAACAACCTTTAATGCAAAGATTGTTTGAGAATTCCTGAAGAACTTCTTATTAACCCCAGCATTACAGTAAATGTGGAAAGAAGGAGGGGGGGCGTTTGCAGTTGAATCGAGCTCTGACGTTTCATCACTATTTTTGTTTATTATATTTGTGAACAATGCCATACTATTTGAAAGTTATTATGGCCATAGGAAATTTACTGAATATCTAAAACATTGAAACAATTCTACTCCAAGCAACAACCACAAAAGAAGGTTTTATCGATGGAAGCACAATCAAACACTTGTGGAGGACGTACCATAAAAAAGATGGCAGAGGGTAGCTTAGTATACCAACAGATGATGTATACAAGCAGGGATGCAGGCAGACATTTCTAGACAGGGTGTGGGTATACAATTGCAGCCATGTTCTATGAGGAGGTGCTGGAAAGTTCTCAGCCTAAGAGAAAATTTAAAAAAAAAAAAATTTTTATCAGATTTTTGGAAGTGAGTCAAGCTGGGAACTTTTCATTATCTCTTTGCTGTCATTCAATTAAAAATTGTAAATTATGAATTTCTATATTTAATATAAATATTTTATGAAACTTAATAATAGAAACAGGATGTCATTTTTACTTTGATGGTTTCTAATTTGGATAATCTCTAAAATGTTTCCATTTTAACATCTGTTTTGTACTTGTAGCTAACATGATGTTATATAAAGTTTCTTAAAAATTAAGGTTTCTTTATTTTCACAAGTCTGAAAGTTTCTGAATCATTTATAAATTGATATGAATGTATAACATAATAGATTTAACTGTGACAGCCATGTAATGAGATACAGACATTATTTAACTTCATTTGATAGAAAGATGGTGCACTCTTCAAGATGGTAAGTACTTCAGCCAACACTAGCAAGGGAATCCCAGAGATATACAAATTCTAAACACAGGAAAATATGTGAAAATTGCAGGCACTCATAAGTGATGCAAGAATTAGTCCATTAATGACTGAAAAGATGTTATTGCATCAAATTACTTCTCAGTTCAGCAATCTCAATCTCCTCAATCAGTACAGCATACACTGTACGGCAGGGCTTTTGTTGTCATCAGTCGACATGAGCACAATTATTATGTCAATTGCCATTAAACTGGAAGGCTGAGTCACATTTTCAGTTATTTCAGGGAGTTGATGGCATTTGTGAGTGGATGAGATTTTTTGTGACTATGGATCCAGCCTGTCTATAATGCTATGGAGTGTATTCTATTGGAATTTTCAAGAACTATTAGTGAAAGTGGAGTCTCTCTTGACAGATGTTACATACACAGATTTTTTTTGCAGACTATTTGCTCCCCACACACATATACACAACATTATGCTTTATGTTTCCTTGTGGTAATGGCTTATTTCAACAAAAAATTCACCCTTGTTCCAGAAATACTCTGCTGACTTCCAGATACTACATTAGCCCTCATGTCCTCCATATTTAAAACCCATTGAGCATGTAGAGGGCATCTTGCAGCTATACTCAAATACAAATCAGTCCAGAAACATGTCAATAGATATACCCATGCAATAACTCCATCACCTTGTTAATTCCATGCTACTCACTCTCATTGTTACTCATGAAAGGTCGAGCTACATGTTATTAGATAGGGACTCAATCATTGAAATACACAAGATGACCTAAACAATATGAAGTTCACAGTGTTTGACTGTCTTTAAGTGTTGATTCACTGGACAAAAACTGAGAAAAGAGGCTATGATACTGGTACCAAATTGTGTGAACTTCTGAAACTGCAGAAGAGTAACAGACAGAACTTCAAAGTAGGCAAAGTGTTGTCTTGCCTTCTGGTCAGTAGGTTTAAAAAAACACAGCCATGTAATGCTATTTTAATGACCAACACACAAAATGGCTGTTTGTGAGAAAAGACTAAAGCATAGTTGTTTTCACCTACACACGTGGGAACAAAATTCAACAATACAAGTGATATTCTATTGACTTTCATACTTGGACAATTTCATTGGCTTTCTTGAGCTGGGATACATTTCACTTGTTGTGTGTGTGTGTGTTTATATATATATATATATATATAAAATAATTTTCCAAGATTCTATGCTGTTTAGCATGACTGTATTTTCTCCTCTGTCTTATTAGCCTCAAAATAATATGTCCAATACAGTCTATATTAGAAATAGACTGTTGTAAAAATATATTCCTTTTTTTTTTTTTGTTAATCCTTAGGTACATAGACCCAAGCAACTTCATAAAACATCTTGGACTGAATACTGCTCAGCAACAAGTAAGTCTTTCATTTATATATTTGAATGCAGGTTTATTAATTATGACAAAAATAGTTTTAAACAGTATTTAATTTTTACTACTAAATTTTCTCCTCCTCAACAGAGTTAATCTATTGTTCAGCTTTTAATTTAGAATGAAGAAATGCCTTGAAACAAAACTTGAATCTGGACTATCATACTTTTCTAGTTTTTTGCCATCACCACTTCAATTGTTCACTGTTAAGTAATATGTTTGACACAAAGGGAAAAAATAATGAAAACAAATTAACTAGGTAAATTGTGTATTCCATACTCAAGGACAAATCTGTCTCAGTTTTCAATGAATTCTTTGATTATCTTGAACTTGGCACCACTGACCAGACAAGCTGTGTGCTGCATAGGATGAAAAATTTTATCTTAAATGGGTTGTTCTTTAGACCTATCAAGATTATCAGAATTTACAGGATTGTATTTATAACATTTGTGCCACTTGACATTTTTTACATAGAAAGAATTTTTTTTTTCTTTTCAAATGCATTAAACAAACCAATTGATCGATGTTGTACTGCACAGTAACATTCTGTCTCTATTCAAACAATTTAAAAAAAAGGTTTTCTCACATAGATTTTGTTTTGTTGAAGGTTGCCCCTGCATCTAGTCACACATTTCATCATTTTGGATCATCATAAATCTATCATGTTATAATCAGTAAATATCTTGTTCAAAAATGATTTTTTTCCCTCCATGCAGATGTGAAAAACAAAATTTCCTAAGTTCAAGTGGATATCATTTCCCAAGTTTCAGAATTTTCCTTAAAACTTTGTAAAGATCATTTATAGTTGATTGACTGTACAAACAACAAAAAGGACTAAACTACTTCTAAGATTCTCTAACATTGTGAAAAAGATGTTATGGGGAACTTTTGTATTAACCTAATTTAATATTTGCAAACTTGGATATGAAGAGACTGTAAAAGTGGCATTAATGATAGCTTTTGTTTGGAATTTTTATAAAACCTTCAGATTCTTCAATATCAGTAGTTCCTTGATTCACAGGTTATATTCATTACCTTCTCCTAGTTAAGCTCAATTTTCTCTCTTATGTGGAATTATCATCAAACATTTTTCCCCACCATTAATACTTATGACTGAATATACTTCTCCAGCTAAATTTCCTTCCCTAGGAGTCAAACACTTCCTAATCGCTGTTTTATATGAAGATACACCTTCAATTGGTCATGTTGCCAAATATAACACAGAAAGAGGGTAATACAACATGATGCAATGGTTAGCAAACTTGTCTTGCTAGATTAATTATGATTGAGTAGTGAGTTTGATCCTCACTGGGTGCTCCATACTTCTAGCCTTGTGCCAATTCACAGCATTGTGTTATCAATAAAGATGTAATGTGTTGTGGGTAATATGTTTCATCTGCTCACTATTTTCACCTGATCTCCAGATGTGGTTGTCTAGTGATTTGATGTTGTGTACTCACTTGGCTGTGATTATCGAAGAATACCTCTGGTTATTTTAGCAGGCTGTGGTTTTGTTAATCTAGAGACTCTTTTGAAAGATCATAGGTAGAAAGAATAAACACCAGTGTAAAAACTGCCAACAATTTAATACCATTAAGTTGTTAAAGGTTACAATCACTCTGATTGATTTCTTCTAAGTTTTTGAGGTATTCGGAAAGTTAACAGCAGGGTTAGACATTTGTGTCTGTGTTGGAGATTCCTTAAGGTTGAGGAGAGAAGAATAGTCATTTGTTCAGGAGGATGATATTGATGGATCTTCTTTTTACTGTTAGGAACATACATGACTTCTATATTCAAAAATTTTTGACCAGATATAGTTTCTCCAAAAGTACCTTCAGCCAGGCATAGGCAATTTGGTAAGAACCAATGTAAATTTGGGGTATAGTTCACTACAACCCTTCGCAGATTTTTCAAAATTTTGGTAAACACATTAATCTTAACATTACAATCTCTTTGGGAGTTGTGAATTAGGGTAGTGAAAATTCAATTGTACTGAATATGTCAAATCTTACTAGGTTTATTTTGGGTTCAAATTCTGCTGCTACCATTCTAAAAAGCATTTTAGGTTCTGGTTAATATTTCTAAATTGAACTTTCTTCCACCAGGTTCCAATCTAGTCAACTAATCTTCCATACTTTTTACCACTTAGTACTTTTATCCCTTCATTTACAATTCTTAACTTTCACAATATATCGGGTCATTCAGTGACATTTTATGCACTATGACTCAATCAGGGCCATTGCCCTGTCACATGTATATTTTAGTTTCTTAATATGGCCTCTGCAGACCTTGAATTAAACTTAACTCTGCTCAACTCTCTTTTTATGATGTGGTTGATCATGACTCAACAGCTTCTTGTTTCATTGCTCTCAACAATACTTGAACTGATCCAGTCTTTCCTATCAAATTGTGGAATGAAAGTTATCCTGAACAGCCACTTGCCTAGATCCCTTCATACTAACACAGATATAACCCCACCCACCCAGGGCTCCATCCTTGGTTCTAGTCTGTTTTTAATTTTCATTAATGACCTTCCTGATGACATCAGCTCTCAACTTGGTATCTACACTGATGACACAAGAATTTACTCTTCCCTTGATAGTAAGTCTTATCAGCCTGACGACATCAAAATGGCAGCCAATGTCCAAAACAACCTCAAGTTCAACCACTAAGAAATTCAGTTCACTATGTAAGGTGAGACAATTTTTCTCTCCAGAATCTATAAGTCTAGCATTCATCTATGCTTAGGATATTTGCTGCCACATATGGTCTGGTGCCCCTGATCTACCTACCTTGATCGTCTTCATAAGATCCAAAGAAGAATCTGCAATATTATTGGTTCTGATCTGACAGCTCAACTCCAGTCACTTTCCTACCACTGTAATTTAATTTAAGCACAGCACTAGACTCATTTACAGTTGAGCTGGCTAGATGTAGCTGTAAATTCTAGTCTATCCGTTTCTTCTCTCACACTTCTCACTTACAGAATTTCCTTCTGGCTTAATGCTTTCCAACCAACTTCATCTACAAAGATATAAATGCAATATCAATTGCTATCTACTGTCCACCTGATTACTATCTTCTCTTTCTGCTCATCATTAATGTTTCTGTTCCTAATTCTTCACACCCTGTAACCCCTTGTGTTACTGCCTTGCTTGAGGTGATTCTGATTATTAAAAAAAAAAACTTACACCTTTATAAACCCTCTTTGTGTACATGTTGCTTAGTCAATTTCCTCACATTTGTTAAGTAGGTTACTTTCTGCTTTCTTCTGCTTCACTTGCCTTCAATGTTTCCCGTGGGTCTTAAATTCTTTAAGAATGCTTTCTACATGTCTCAAAAATTTTAACTGTTTGATTGTTAATAAGTTTCTTTCTAAGTCTTATTCTTAGAACAGACCATGTCCAAGATATTTTCAGCATTCATCAGTGAAATCCTGTCATTACTTTTTCTTTTTATTTGTAATTGTTCAGCATTCGTTCCCAATAGCAGACATTTCTTTGTTTCTTATTTTTCAATCCCTAAATACCTTGCTAAGTTTTTGAAAATTAGAAATATATAAAAAAAAAAAAAAACCAAACTTTCAAAACATTCTAACCTATCATTACACAATGCTTAACTCATGAAAAATAGGAAAGAATTTTGGGGGGTAATAATTTTTATAGATTAGCATTCATTAAACCTTCTTTTAGCCACAGCATTTGCCAAAATTGAAAAAAAAAATTTTTTTGATCTCTGACTTCTTAAAGAGTTATCTGTACTTTGTTTTTATTTATAAATGTCAAGTTTGAAATTGTGCTTACATAATTGATGACTGTACTACTGATGTCATTTTTTCCCATTCATAATAGTATAGTTATCAATGACATAAGCATAGTTTAAGATTTGATATTTGTAAATAAAACCAAAGTACAGATAACTCTTTAAGAAGTCAGGGATCAATTTGACACTGTATTTCTATTCTGAACAGGATCCACCTCTTTTCTAAAATAATTTTTAAAAATATCAATATTTTTCTGTTCTGACAAATGTTGTGGCTAAATGAATGCTAATCTATAAAAAATGACTACCCTCAAAATTCTTTTGTTTTTTTTATGAGTGAAATTTTGTTTAATAACAGGTTAGTGTTTTGAGTTTTTCTTTTACATTTCTAATTTTAATTTGTGTCAATTAAACATTACTTGTTTGAACATGTGTATAATATTGTTATTTTCTAAATTGTACAATATTTTTAAGTGTTGCTTAGTTCCACCAAAGAACATTCTTATTAGATTATGGAACCTTCTGCAGTATAATAATAGAATACCACTTGTGACTAAGATGAAAGATTTCTGATGAGAAACTTCCTCTTTTTCTTTATAATTCTCTAAGATATTATAAAGAATGGCTGAAAACACTGAAGAACTATTCCTTTCATTTCACTCTCTCTCTATCTCTCTCTATCTCTCTCTCTCTTTCATATACACAATGAATGGAAGCCTTCTTTGTTTTTTTTAAACTTTCTTTTCATGTAATATTGTATTTTGTTTGTTTTTTTAAAAAGTTTTTCTCTTATAGGATGCCCAGGAGTTTTCTAAGCTATTTTTGTCTCTGTTAGAAGAGACATTGATGCAGAGTGATAACCCCAAAATAAAGAATGTGATAGAAGAGCAATTCTCTGGGGAATACACTTATATTACCTGGTAAGTTTTTATTTAAATTATTTGCATGAATTTTATTTCAAACTTGCTGAAAAGTTCTTGGCCTAACCAAGACCCTCCCTCCCCCAACATTACACACACACAAATCCAAGTCTTCGTCTCTCTCTCATATATATATATATATATATATATATATATATATAAACAGCAAGATGAGCTTTACCATTCATGATTTAAAAAAAAAATAAAACATTTAACCAGCTGACTAAATATTAAAATATAAAACACAAGAAGCATGTAATGAAATAAAGGTGGAAAGCTCAGATGGAAATCATGTTAAGCCCTAACAGACTTTCCCTCTGTTTACAGAGGGAGGGCTGCCAGGACCTGACATAGATCGTTTCCAATACCAATGAATGAGCATGACTAAGGATGAAAATAGGTCAATGCTGAAATTGGTGGCACAACTTGGATTGTTCATCATATGCTTCTTGTGTTTTATATTTTATATTGTAATATTTAGTTTTCCCTCAATTTCAGCTCTGGTTGGCTGGTCTTTTTCTTTTTTCTTTTTTTTTTTTTTCTTTTTTTTTCTTTTCTTTTTTTTAATCATGAATAGCCATTTTTATTTCCATAATGAAATTTTGTATCTCTAAGAAAATAATGAAATATATATATATATATATATATATATACACACACACACACACACCATTAATGTGTCTGGTAAATTTTTATTTGATTTATGAGGGTGTTGCTAAAAAGTTCTCTCTCTCAATTAATTTTAGTTTGTAATGTTCTTATTACAATATTACTGGGGCTAAAACAAATCTTAGTATCAAATGTTTACAGCACATTTAATGAGAAAACATGATAATGTGATTAAGTGATTATTATGTGATTTAAGTTGTACCACCTATGAAGTATCTCCATCTCTACCTTCCTTTTTATTTTTTTTAATGGGTTGAACCATTCAGCATTTGAGCTGTTCACCCTTTGTATCAGTTTGCCATTTTAACTGCTAAATGTTTTAAAAAATTCAGTTGTATAGATAAAGTCCTTTATCCAGTCATTCATCTTTCATTTCTGGAACAATCTTGTAATTTGGAAAATAAGTCTAAATGATGTGATGTAGGTAAATGTAATTTCTCTTTCCATATCTCTCTCTTTCTCTCTCGTCTTCTCCTACCTGACTTATTGGCATTTTGTACAATAAATTGCATAAATTAGTCTCCTTTCACTCAATAAAATTAGAGATTGCAGGCTACACACTTTTGATATAAAGATTTATCAGTTAACCTAAAATCAAATCTCAAAAATGATTATATGAGGTTTTTTTTGTTTTCCTTCAGCTGCAGTCAGTGCGGTGGGAAATCGAAAACGCCTTCCAAGTTCTATGAACTTGATTTAAATATTCGCGGAACTAAAACCTTGCATGAAAGTCTTAAAGAATTTTTGCAGGTAAGTTAAAGAAAATCATAATTTGAATATTTTGGTAAAATGAAATTGGAACTGAAAT